TACTATGGCATTTATCTTTTTCTTAATTATTTTCAAAAAGATGTAAAAATATATTCTGAATCAAGCCTATTGTTAGTATATGCTTTGGAAATGCTTGTGTGTACTTTGTCTTTTTAACTCTTTTAATTATATCTTTTGATGAGACGTTATTAATTTTAATGAAGTTGAATTTATCAATTTTTTATTTTTAAGATTAGTGCTTTAAATGATTTAAGAAATCTGTTACCACTCTAAAGTCATGAAGATGTTCTCTAATTTAATATTCCAGTAGATTTGTAGTATTGCATTTCACACAAGTCTTTAACTCATCTAAATTAGCTTATATGGTGTGAGAAATACATCCAATTTCCTATGCACACCTATTTATCAGAAAGCCATTTTTAAACAAAAGTATTCATTCCCCACTGATCTACAGGATACTTTGTTCATAAATTTGTTCTAAATTTGTACTTGGCACTTATTTGGGGATATATTATATCATCTATTTGTCTGTGTCTTTGCCAATAACACAATGTCTGGTTCCCATAGTTTTGTTTGATGTCTTGACATTTAGTAAATTTTTTCCACCTTGTTTACTTCTTTAAGAGTAGCCTGGCTAATCTTTGCCCCATGTACTTCTACTAAATTTTAGAATCAGCTTGTAAAGTTTCAAATAACAAAAAAGGCAGGGATTTTAATTGATAGACATAGAATCCATAAATTCAGTTGAGAGAATTGTCATCTTTATAATATTGTGACTTCCAATTCATGTACAAGGTGTATCTTTTTATTTCGGGTTATTTTAACGTATCTCATAAAATTTTACTTTTATTTTAGAAGTATTGTGCATCTTTTGAGGGGCTTATTCCTATATACTCATATTTTTTAATGCTGTTATAAAGAGTATAATTAAAATTTGATTTCAAATTTCTTCCTGGTCTATAGAATGTTTTAAAATAGATCCTGTGGCCGGGTTCAGTGACTCAGCCTGTAACCTCAGCACTTTAGGAGGCTGAGGTGAGTGGATTGCCTGAGCCTGAGGGTTCGAGACCAACCTGGGCAACTTGGTAAGACTTTATCTCCACAATAAATAGAAAATTAACTGGGTGTGGTGGTGCGCCTGTAGTTCCAGCTACTTGGAAGGCTGAGGCAGAAGAATCTCTGGAGCCTAGCAGGTTGATGCTGGGGTGGCCGTGAGTGTGCCACTGCACTCCAGCCTGGGTGACAGAGTGAGACTCCAACTCAAAAAAAAAAAAATAGAT